TTGGGGGGGGGGGGGGAGAAGCGGGACATCGCCCCATGTGCGTGGCGGCGTTGGGAAGCCCATCATTTGACGCTTCGATATGTGAAAGAGAAAAAGAATGAGTGAAATTATCTGTGATGAGAGTTGTTACTTCAATTAGCCTCACATCTTTCACGTACATACATCATCTCATTTTGCCATTTTGTCTCTTCCTTCATCTTGATTTATATATATATATATATATATATATATATATAACAATGAAAAATATAAAAATAAACTTTGAATCGCCTTCGAGGAAATCTTAAGGAAATCGACGCAATTCGGCGCAATGCAAGTCTTAAAAATAATTTGGTGTTTTATATTATTACGCATCTTTTTTTTGTTGTTGTTTTTACTAAATTGTGATTTATTGTTAACATATTGCTTTTGTTCAAATTACAATGTAACATAAAATTCCATAAATTAACGTTGCTTCCTTTCTAGTAAGTTATGAAAATATATAAAACTACAATTTTATTACTAAAAACTGATTCTTTTTAAACTGTAACGAACGGCATTTGTTCGCTATTTAACACAATCCACTTTGTAACTTTATTTTAAATTGTATTAAACTTGATAGTATCTCATCTAGATTTAACATTATTCACGTTATATTAATTTATTTTACTTATGTAATATTAAATTTGTTTGTAAATAGTTTTGCATCTACATATCTACTAATGCTTCTAAATCTTCAAATATATATTCGATTATTCATAAAGTTTTTATTGTTCTAGTTTATTTTTTCGTATGTAAAAAATTGTATAATTTATTTAAATTCTTTCCTTTACAAACGGTAATTTTAATTCATAGTAAATGGAAGTTACACATAAATAATTGTTTTTAATTTTATTCTTATTTTAATAATTAAATTACTCTAATAATTTATTTGCCAGAAAATAAAATGAAATCATCCGTTGTTCGCATTGTCTTATTAATTCAATGTATGAAATTAAAATAAAATAAAATAAATCCATTGGAGATTATCAATACTAATTTTGATTCTCTAAACTATATGAATATTTCAGATAACATTGCTAATTTTATCAAATACATTTATATAGGTTATTATAAAAAAATTTACTGGCAAATGTAGAAAAGTTCATAAGATTTTAATCGAATAAGAGATTAATTTTGTCGTAATGCACATTATGAGTGTACATTATTATAGTACATTATGACATATTAAATGATAAGCTATAAAGATTGTAATGTACAAATTCATTATACACATGATAATCAAAGCGATTTCTCCACTATGGAGCTTTACGTGGCACAGGTACGCTCAACTTAACAATTAATGTACAATTATCACAAATGAAGAGACGAAGTAAATTAGTTACTTTTTATGTACAAGAAAATTAATTCAGATACCCAAAAAAAAAAAAAAAAAAAAAAAAAAAATAAATATAAGGCTTTCATCGAGGCTTGAACTTCGAATTACTTTTGCATCATGACTTTGGGAATTTTTTCAATTAATCTCTGTGAACCACTATTACCTAAAAATTCTACGTAGTATTAGCTGTAATTTCGATCTTCCACTTTATAATTTCATCATTCTTATACACAAAATAAAATATTTCCAAATTATATAAGAAGACAAAATAAAGTAGAAGGTCATCTTCTTATAAGTTTAACTTTTAATTTACACATACATACTTAAGCTAACAAGAATTATTACATTAAAATAATGGACATAATTGAAGAGAATTTGTATAAAAGGAAAAAGGATTTTTGGGGACAATCGAGGATTTTTTGATCACCAAAGCTTTAAATAAGCAGTGGTAAGGCAGTCTTACGAAAAAGTGGCGAGAATCACGTGAGTCTTATTTTGTCCTCTCGCAGGAACGTCAGATATTTTTAACCTAGGCATTAATAATACTTACATATTACTTTTATACGAAAAATTTCTGTTTTGATTATGACCAATTAAATTTTCGAATTCTATTTGTGTAAGGTGTTATTAATTAATACAATTTTTGTTTCTTGAATCCATTTCTTCCATCAACTTGTAATGATCTTTTACTTGAGCTATTGATTTCTAAATTAAATAAACAAACGATTGACGTAAGGTCAATGATCCATAAGCAATAATTGATAAATGCATGTAAGTTAATACTGACGTTTGAGCTGTGCCATGCGAGAGCGAGTAAGTCTTTTGGTTTTGTTGGCATTCGCGTCTAGTTGCTCCAAACTCTTTTTTCTCAATAGGGCCACTTCTTCCATTGCCGGTGTCATCCACTTCGCTTTAAGTTCATTACTAAAATGGCAAAAAAATATATTCTCATGCCAGTTCTTAACATTCAATACGTAAGCAAAGAAAAAAGCTACTCACTCGGAAGACTTTGAATTCGTTCTCTGTCTCACCAAACCTGTTTGTCGTTCCTTCATCCTCTGTAGTATTGCCAGCATCGCATAGGTAGGAAGAGATGGGGGCGGTGGCGATGGAGGCGGAGTGAGTGGCGACGATGGTAGCTGAGCACTGATTTTTGCCAGTTTGTCAGGATGACAAGCGAGCACTGCTTCCCAACTGAAATCGCTTTCTTTTTTCTGCTGCTGTTCAACTATTAACTGTGTATTACGAGTGATTCTTACCTATAGATAATAAATAATATTTTACGATATTATCACACGACAAGTGTAATATGTCTACCCTTACATAATGTCATAAACGTTAACGTAATGCTTTTCTAAAAAATTTGTAGTATCGATTTTACCATTCATTCTATCATAGTAATTAAACTTGATTTTGTACTATTGTTATAATTACTATTAATACGTGTATGTATAAAGATATTTTTTAAACTATAATTGAAATTATAATTAAAAAAAATTATATACATACTTCTCCATTTACTTGTCTGCATGGTTTACGTTCTCGTAAATATGGTTTTTTATGGTTTTTAATAGACGAAGAATTTTCATTTGCAAAAAACATTTTGTTTCCAAAAAGACTTTCAAGGCTCAAATCTTGTCGAAATAGGCTTCTAAGATACTCGTAATCAGGTTTAGACTCAAATTTTAAATTAGCAATGTACTTCATATAATTTGTTATATTTTCTGAAAACGAGCATATTTATGTAATTAAGAGAAAATGTAATAAATAAGAATTAAAAATTATTAATAATTTATTTACCCGGAGCATTTTTCGTTTTAAAGCATTGTTTCATAAATGAATCAACATTTAATAAATAATTTTCCTTTTTATCATGAATTTCATCAGGATCAGCGGATGGAGATAAGCCACCATTTTCATTTTCCCAAGGTAATCTCCCACAAAGCCACTGCAGTAAATTATATCCTAGTGTTTCTAAATCTCCTCTTCTTGAATGTGCTACAAAATTGAAATAATATAGCTCAAATGTAAATTGTAAAAATGTCTGTTTATATAATGGGTGTAGAAGAATTATGTTATCAGTAACTAAGCTGATTTATTAAAATTTACTTACTGCCATGATGAGCATCACGCGAAGTGAATTCTAAAGTTCCTTCGTGCGCTCTTCTCTCATCATGTACAAATGGCTTGTGAACACCATTGCTAGTTCTGTATCTATATGCTAAGCCAAAATCAACAAGGAAAGCCTGAGTCTTTTCAATCTCTGTGCGATATTCTTGATTGTTCTTTTTCAACAAGATATTAGACCCTTTAACATCCGAATGAGCATAGCCTTGGCTATGAATATACTCTAGTGCGTAAAGCTTTAAAAAGAAGATCGATTAAATTTCAGTTACAATTTTGTAAGTTGCGGTGAAAGTCGAAGGAAGTAATTACCATTTGTATAGCTAAACTATTTATAAGTTTATTCGAAAGTTTTCTACCATTTGAAACAAACACTTTGCCTACGTCTATTCCATATCGAGGCATTACTAAGAATCGATATCGTTCACCCTCGTAAATATGGGACCCAGAACCTTCGTAAGATGGTATTCCTACTTGACGTAAATTTTGTGCCTTACACCAATTTTCAACTGAAAGTAAATAGTTAAACGCCGAAATGAGAATTTACTTTGAAGCCGAGATTATTCATAATACAATAAAATATTTTTAACTAACTTATTGATTTTCGAGCAGCTCTTATATAAAAATTCATTTCCACGAACAAAGGTCCATTATTATGTGGTTCAATTTTTATGACGTATTTTGCATTTGGTCCAACCGGCTTATGAATGTCACTCGAAGCTGAAATTATTTTTAAAATAGTAGGATTTTTATTCTGCCATTGATAAGAGTAAGCGATTGATCGATGGATTAAAACCCTTTATAATAACTTACCAAGGTAAACATCTCCAAAGCCTCCGCAACCTATCGAGTCACCCAATCTCCATAAATTTTGTGTTATATCTTTTAAAATTTCTCCAGCAGGAAGACGAGATGGTAAACGACAGCCCAATGCCGCAACCCTTTTTAAAGGGATATCCTCAGCTCGCCGTGGTGCCATATTGTCTTTTTTGTTAGAATCGCAAAACTGAAATAATTATATGAAGAAATGGAATGCCTTACGAAAGGATAAAAAATGCATATCATTTTTCATTTAATAATGTAAAATGCAACATTTACAATAATATTGTATCAATAATTTTTAGAGAGGTTAGAAAAATAAAACATTATTATTTATTAATTTAATTTCCAATTTCTTTATAAAATATGAATTTCTATTTAATTGCATAATCAAAGACTTCTAAAATAGGGTAAAAATTAACGCATTAAAACTAATGTGAAGTTGCTCACGTAAATACATTCATCTACCATCACTTTTTATTATCTTTCATGACAGACTAACAATACTTTAATGTCGGGTTTTAATTACCAAAGCAAGTAAAAAAATTTACACGAAATATATTCATTCTTATTAAATTATGGATAATCGTTAAATTCTTACTGGACGAATAAACTTCGAACGGAATCAGAAATATCCACATTTTAAAAAATAACAAAAATAGCGCATAAACGTTGATAATGAATAAACAAACAAATGTCACTGCATCGTAATGGTAAAAATAATGTTTACTTAAATAAATAATGACTTTTAATGTCGTTTAAATAGATATGATGGTCGGGTTAATGACTCTCGCAAAGCTCTAACTCTGACAGGTTTATTGTAATCGGGCCGAAGGAGTGAAATTCAAAGTATAAGGTGAAAATTAGTGAAATATTTGCACGGAAACAGCAGATCCGAAATTCCATAACCGAAGTTTTCACAAACTCACCGATAAAATAATTCAGGTGCATAACGACGAAGGGCTGTGCACGGAAGTGGCACTACCGATCTCCCCGCCTCGTCAAAACTTCCAGAAAAAACTCAATGCGAGGCCTCTGCTATCAGCATTAAAGGCAATCCGCACTCTGCCATTTTCTAAAATATGTTCGTTGGAAAGCCGATCAGCTGAAATGCGCGTTCTCAAAGACACGTCCTTAATGCAGCAGCGGCGCCCACTCAAGGCGTCTTTCCAGAAATGGTATTAGCGTTTCCTTTCTTTTCTCTCGATACCTTTTATCCTTCTTTATTCATGGGTTTGTCGATAATTGGGCTTGAAATGCCCATAACCCGACAAAAAGTCCAATTACCAGGAATATTTAGCGAATTTAATCTCATTTGTTGCACGTATAATCCATATTTTAAAAGCTACGGTTCAAAAATCTTCAAATCGTGTAGAATAATTTTGAAATTTCTTATTGTTTAATCGTTGGTGCGCCTATATACGAGTAGACTACTACAATTAAGCCGCGATCGTTACAGAAAAGTATTATTCTTAGATTAATTAACACGGATCGTCTGTTACAAAACATAAATGTTAAAATACTGTTAATTTGCATTGCTGATTGTCGCGCGTTTTCAACAACTTTTACGAAAATTAAAAGATAAGATTGAGCCAAAAATATCTACGGTCAACGAGCGCACATTCATATTTCCTATAAATTATGAAGAATAGAAATTGTGTCTTTTCGGTTTGCATGTCAGTCGCGAGGGATACATATTCCCCGCCATTTAAAAAAAATCGAATTGTTTTTTAATTCATCGACTACATTGTATCGGGATTGTTGATAATGTGAATGCGCATGCGCCATATGGGCCAGAGGTTCAAACGTATTATTTTAATAACCCGGTTGGTTAAGCTCGAGCAGCAGAATCATCCGAAGCTAAGCTCTGCCAGTGATAATATTAGCTCGGTAGTACAGCGATTTTCTATATTTTTATTCTATCCTTTCTTCTCAAACAATATAGTTGCGATTTATTTTTAAAATTAAAATTATAATAATTTGATAAAGCGCATCGGAATAATTCGCTGGCAACAAAAGACTTTTATGATTTTTTATATTAAGTACGCATTTTTGGCGTTAGATGGCGTAAGAAGCGCTCTCGCTACTCTAGGGTCAAACATCTATGAGTGCGAGCCGCACGTTGCCCATATATATATATATATATATATAAATGCATGCATATGGATATTGCGCATACTCATAAGAGTTTGGGGAGCATGCATGGTGCATGGGCGTGTGTGTGTGTGTGTGTGTGCCCGCGCGCGCCACTATACATATATGCATAATGTACTTCTTGAATTTGAAGCGCTGCTTACAGTGTAAATTTACAAAAACAATTATAGTTTAAACACCATCCAGTTAAGTGTTATTTAACAAATTAAAGCGTATAACTGAACTTAAGTTTTATATATATTTCTCTTTGTCTAACATCACGAGAGCCAGTGTTTTCACATTACATTTAATTTGCAAATCGAGCAATTAAAAGTTACGATTACATTACAATTAATGTAAAATTTTAAATATTATTTTTTACTACAGCTTGGTTAGATTATGATAATAGTTTAATAGTATAAGATTGTCAATATTTTCGAAATATTGTACAATTTATAAGCAATAAAACGATTGAAATTTATTATTTTTCATTCGCATGCATCTGCATTACACACGATAATTTAGTTAAAAATATAAAAATAAAAATATTACGAACGGTTGTTATTTTTATAAATATTCGTATCGCTCTGTGTTTAATATACGTGTATATTTATTTCGATTTCTCATTGTGTATGCACAAACGTATAAGCACGATTAACAATAAAAAGAAAAGAAAAAGAATATTTTCATGGGACGCTACGTCATTTTATACGCGCGCGCACGCACACACACGTGCATTATTGGCTGAAATGAGAGCGGTTGATTTGCAAAGTGCACCTCGGCTTATTAAAGGGTACACCCCCGCTATCATAGACCTGCCCGTACAAAATCCAACTGACGCTGTTGTACACGTGTGCGTAACACGTACGGACGACTAAGCTCAATGAATTTCTACGCTAGAATAATCGAAGCGTAAGGTTAAAAAGTTGCAATGGCCGGCGCTCAAGGGCTTCGCGAATCTCATGTGATATTCCTATGTATTGTCCCATAAATTTGTCTTTTATAATCAATACGCACATCCGTGAAATCGAATCCGTGAAATTGAAACATTTTTATTTCATAAACTAAGTCACGTTCGAGCGGTCATTGATATGATAAGACAATCTTGCCGCTCTACGTGTTAATTAATTTCACTGAAATAATCTCTTACTAATGGCTCGGAGATTTTTTTCTGTTTTATTATGAAATGCGCAATCAATTCGCTTCTCAAAGCCGAATGTAATTAGAAAGATAGAAGATACACATTGTTCTACGAGTTTGTCTTAAATTATTATGAGATTAATAATTGAAATTAACATTAATTTTCTATAATTCAACGAATTTATGACTATCCATAAGATTTGCATTAATGATAAAATGTCATATCTATAGTTATTTTCGCGTAGATTTACAATTTAGGCACTTTATCATATTCTGCTAAATTAAATAATGTACAATAGAAAAATAATAATATTTGAGTGAATTATGTAAAGGTTTTAATAACGATTGCGCACCAAACAAGCCTTTATTTGTTTAAATTCATGTAGTTTTTAAGGATGATAAGGAAGTATATATTCTCTCTCTCTCTCTCTCTCTCTCTCTCTCTCTCTCTCTCTCTTATTATTTTCTTTATTATTGACGAATTGGGATCAATCAAAGGCACTCTACTTACCGTAACTTATTGCCGTTCATAATATATCCGCAAAAATTGTCTAAATTATAATGAAAATGCCGTATAAAGCGATGTGGTATTTTTTTAACCAATTATAATACCGAGAAAAAAAAACTTTGAAATATCTACTTTTTAAAAATGCCACGTGCTTTCTCCTTGTGCACGTTGTGAACTTCGTGATAATGTCTTGTTACAACCCAAAGTTAATGTAATTATAACAAATGTACATTAAATAAGTATCTTTTGACCTTCTTTTTATTGTTAGTGACTTAAAAACTTTTTCAAACAGTCATTATTCTTGCAAAACTATTTTAATATTAAGAGTTGGTGTACGAAGTTTGATATACGTATGTATAGAATACCTAGTTAACTCTACACAATACATAATTATAACAACTTATATTAATAATAATCATAATAATAATGGCAATGCATTTTTTTATTACTTTCAAAGACTTTGTCGACAATATCCTATTTTAATAATTAGGCAATTATTTTTATTTCATTATTCATAAATAAGTAATCTTATATTAAACAACGATGCGTTGCATAAATTTCTACTTAAATTTTGTCACTTTATCATAACAAATCAAATTAGGCGAAGCAATATTTCTGAATAATTAAAGAAATTTTATAATATGAAACCAATGGTTTTTTTTTTATTTTATAAATAATGAGCGTACAATTTTTCACGCGTTGCGCTAATAAATAATTGGGAAAGAGCGTATAATTTTCCATTGTCAAATGAAATTTGCGAAACACTTATTTTATCTAAATTTTTTAAATCCACAAATATGTAAAAACTTCTAATATTAATTTTTCTTTTGTTGTGATAACACCTGTGCACCAAGTGTATACAGCTATACAATTCTACCATTATCGTGTTTGATTGTAAATTCATCTTTCTCGTTATTATCTATTCCTCATAAGACATATAAAATTTTTCAATAAAAATGTCCTCTTCTTTTATTTCCTCGACCATTTATGTTTCATCGATAAGTCATCCATGAGAATAGAGAGAATGGAATGGTTGTGTCGTGTAAGAAAAAAAAAAAAAAAAAAAGAAAGAAAAAAAAAGAAAAAAAAGAAAGACAACATAACGTTTAGGCCGCTGCAATAATCAACGCGATATTTCAGAATTTTACGGAACTTAATAAGATCTTGTCGAATAATCGGACGATTCTATAAATGTACTCTATAAACGTTACGTTCTATAGAACATCTTTATTAAAGCTTCTGTAATGCTTAACTCGAGTTTAATCGTTTATATTGTATTAGACCTTGACATTAAGTCTATTATTTTTTAACCAGTCACGAATTCTGGCATAATTGAATTATCTTTGATTGCGCGCTACGATTAATAGTAACGAATCAGATAAGCATCGAACGTGTGATCTATTATTGAAAATTATTAAATAAAAAAAGTTTTAAACAAATACGTAAATTGCCGTCTACTAATGCATACATCTGTCCTTCAATAGTCGTTCAATTCGGCCTTTTAAGTTCTTGGCCCATCGAATAATTTTTATCATAGTATCGTATCATCTGATTATTGTAATGTCGACAAATCATATAAAATAAATTAAAATAATTAAATAAGTAAAAGAAAAATACATTTGTGCATATGAACGAGGTACTAGGTTCAAGGTATTATATACTTTACAAAATTATAAGCATCGAATTATCTAGCTTATTTATTGTTTGAAAATCCATTAGTATGTCATCAATGCATATGGTTTATCTCCATTATTTTTATCGCCATTTATTCAATTTTCTAATCGTATATGATGAATCCAATGCACAAGTGTTAAGACAGATCGCTGATCGTGCAATAAATCCATATAAATTTTACTCCCAACACCAATTCAATAAGTTTTAATGAAAAGTAGCAGCGCTACTTTTACCATGGGTGAAGGTATCTGACGAACGGTTGATGGATCCGAAGAGAAGCTGTGGCACTGACCGCTTATTTCTGCTCGGTTGGTTCGCCGGTGACGATTATATTCGATCGAATCGGGGAATAATAAATCGCGTTAGGCGCTTCGGCTTTAAGGAAGAGAGTGATTGGAGATTATCAGAGCGGCTATATCATTGGGATTATTGAATGGCTCTTGTTGCCACCGCCACCGCCGCCGTCATTCCATCAGCGCCATCTGTTTCCGCTCACAACTGCAAAGACAACAGCTCGTTTTCCTCGTTCCCGTTTAGTTCGCCGTTTGCGTCTCGCAGGTACTAGCGGGTATTTTCTAGTCCTGTTTGTGGTCCGTGGTGGGTGGATTTGTGCGTGCGTGCGTGCGTGCGTGCGTGCGTGCTTGTTGTTTTAAGCGTACGCGTGTATCCGCGCGCTGTGCACGTAGGGCTGCTGTTGCTGCTCTTACTGCTCTTACTGCTGTTACTGCTGTTACTGCTGTTACTGCCGTTGCCGCTGTTTGCCTGCTCGGGTTGACTACTGGTTGACTGCTGTTGTGCGCTTGAACCACTCGTCCCCGGATACGATTCTACTCACCCGGCGTGTTATTGGTCCGTGGCCTTATAATTATGTGACGTCAGCGGCAATCATCTGCCATGAAACTCCGGGCGATCGGCAAATTTTCTTTAATTTAGGCAAGTGAGCGTGAAAAGTTGTGCGGGATGCGTGAGCATGCGTTAGAGCGAGACTTACGGCTTAACTGAGTGGCGACGAGCGAGAGTGAGCGAGCGAGAGGGAGCGAGAGGGAGCGCATGTGTGACGTCAAACTAATGGTAATTTGACGGTGTGCGAGGACGATGCGCGTTATCTACGTTTTTCGTGGTTAGGTTCGTCCGAACTCGTTCTCGCGTTGCCGCGCGCCTCATCTTTGCATTTATCGCGTTATTTTTGTCACTCGGGGGATTGCAATGTTCGCAAGGTGTTTGCCTGTTCGTGAAGCATTTCTTTCGTTCTAATTAGCCCATAGATGCCCAGAATTACCGTTACTAAGGTATGGTTTGCGCACTTACCGTGTTGGTGCACGTATCGAATCCGAGACTCGCTCTGTTCTATTTATCGTAAGCCTCGTTATTTTGCTGCTTTATTGTATTTGTCATAGTAGTTTTTGCGGTATTATTGCAGTATTATATAGCGCGTGGTATCGTTTGTTGTTTGTTTGTGTTTTGTTCACAGATAGCGTTGCTAACTCTGTATGGCACATCTGTTTCCTTATTATATTTTCACTGAGTTCTTTCTCCCTCTCTCTCTCTCTCTCTCTCTCTCTTAATTTGCCTCTACAGTTTCATTGATTTTATTGAAAATTTTATACTTACAGTTTCACGAGTGAACTACAGGCACAAGGTTTAGTTAACGTACAAAATGTCGTATCCAGGACAAACCCCGATGGGTATCCCTGGCATGCCGTACATGGTGAGCGTACCACCACCAATTATCGGAGGTGTGATGCCAATGCCTCATGTAAGCCAACATTATTCATATATATTTCTGTTATCAACTAAATGATGTTTGTTCGACAATGGCAATTACGGTTTGATTTTGAATTGAAATTGAAACTGCCAACGTTACTATTTGATATCGAAAGAGCGAAATGTTAGTTTAAGTTGTAGCAGCGTTATCTAACATTAAGACTAAAAAATGTATCCATTATCGATATAATATAATATTTTTAATCGCCAATTATCTTTCTTGAACATTGATCTATATATAATTAAAAGTATTCAGTTTACGTTAAATTGCATTTAATAGCTTTAGATATAAAAATGAACTAATAGAGTATTTTTATGTATTTGAATACTTTAAATCACTCGATGCATGTAAGTCGTAAATTTTATCGGCATCTGTGCAATATTGCCTTGTTAAAAAATAATATTCATGAATGTATTGTGACGAGCAAAATTTTCAGTACAAATTTTCATCTAGTTTTTTCTTTGTTTTTACATATCTGTAATGTATATTCGTTCAATTAATTTTAATGATTTAATGCAAAATTTTCAGATGGTTCCCACACCAGTTTCTGCTATGCAAACTTCATCACCAGCTGTTCGTTATCAACGTAATCAGCCACCAAGACCCGAAGCACCGAGGCCGAGACGGGAACGAGAAACAGGCCCACCTGTTACAGTTTTCGTGGGCAATATTATGGATCGCGCTCCCGATATTATGATAAGGCATATACTCGGTGCTTGTGGACACGTACTCTCATGGAAAAGAGTCCAAGCTTTTGGTTTTTGTGAATATGCTGGTCCAGACGCTGGTCTAAGAGCCATTCGTATATTACATGACATGGAAATTGGCAATAAGAAATTAGTTGTCAAAGTTGATGCTAAAACTAAAGTTGCTTTAGATCAGTTTAAAGGTTTGCAGAATTTTTTATGTATTCAAATTAATTGAAAAGACAGTATTTTTCAAATAGCTGTAAAAATGTAAGAATTCATAAATAATTGCAAGTTGTATATCTTTGCGTCGTTGATTTATGTTTTACAAGTGAAATATCCTAAAATTTTAGTACATGTGATACGGATGTTACAAATGCATTATTTATTTGTAATTACTTTTACAGCTGAGAGAAGAAAGAAGTTGAAAGGAGGCTCATCTCCTTTACAGGATGAAACATCAACCGAATCTATTGAATCAGAAGATAACGACGATTATATGGATGATGGAATGAAGGCTATAGATTCCGAAGCTCTAACTCGCATTCAACAAATTATTTCGGAGCATCTAACTGATTTAGAAATAATTCAAAATAGTTCAGGTCAGCTTTCACGAATATATTGTTTATACCGAAAGTGCTTATATTAACTATGTATGATCTCTTTTGCAGAAGAACCAATAAAAACTACAGTCGCAAAGATTCTCAATCTGGATGATGCTGAAATCGAAGAAAGTAAGCGCGATCTAATCACACGGGAAATTGGAAAATTTCGGGAAGTCATGAAGGTAATGATAATTTCTTACATTTAAATAGTTGCATCGAAATACTGATTCGGTGTTCGATGATTGGGTCGGACGGAGGGCGGGAGGGGGAGGGGGCGGGGAGGGGTAGAAGCTTAAATGGTTGAATAATCAAAAATCAACGAAAATCAACAGAAGCCAGCCGAGAGGACAAGCGCGAAACTCGAGTTTCTCTTGCTTCGTTCGTTATTTATTTTAGAATTGCTTTAGAGACGCTAAAAGAACTCGCTCTCCCGAGGGTTACTCTATTAGAATGAAAGACCACTCAACTGTGTTAATTATAAAAATGTATAAATAAAAAATAAAAAGATTTAGAGAAAGGAAAGTTTATCCAGCGAGAAACCTCGCCACACTCTTTTTATCTTTCTCGACGAGATGGAGAGCGTTCAGTTGTTCTTTATTTTGTGTAAACAGCCAGTGTTGCTCGGCCTCTCACACGATCAGACATGTACGTAGTACCATAGGTGCTCCTCCAGCGCCCCTCGGCACTGCCAGCAGCCGACTTCGCATACCGTGAGTAAAATTCACCAAAAACAGATCAACAATGATGAAAAAAAAAAAATAAATAAATAAATAAATAAAATAAAATAAATAAAATCCGACAACGCAAAACCATTAAAAAACTAAATGTTCCTCGTGCAAAGGCTCTTCATTTACATTATTACTTCTCTTTTTTTCTATCTATATATCTATCAATCTTTCTATCTTTCAATCTATCTATCTATTTATCCACTTATCTTTCCATCTATTATATCTATCTGTTTATTCATCTTTTATCATTTATCTATTTATCTATACATTTATCTCCATGAGATGCACACTATCATTGTACACTTCAAAATTTATACTTTTTAAATTTTCCTCTCACTACGTAACTGTAAATCGTAACGATTTGATAAAAGTTAATTTCAAATTTTTTCTTCAACTTATTATACTTATATTATATATGTATGTATGTATGTATGCATGTATGTATGTATGTATGTATATGTATATGTATATATATATATATACGTGTATGAGAAAGGAAAGCATTGTAATGTTGTAGATTTACTCTTCAAAATGGAATATTGAAATATTTTATTAAATATGAAAATATAAAAAGCATATATTTTTTAAAAATATTCACTGTGATGGGGCAAATTAAGAATATCTTACTTTAGTCGTTTTTTACATAAACAATATATTAAAATGTAGATGTAGAACATTACATAATTACAGATTTTCGTGACATCTAAACAATTATTACACTATTATATGCATGCATATTAATTGCAAGTAGAAACATTCAAAAGTTACTTTTCTATAGAAATCTGGGTGCAGTTAAATAAATTATAATGTTAGTATGTATGAATTATCATCAACTTAATTTGAAGATGTAATAAATACTATTAATAATATTTTGAATATAAAAACTTCCCTTTGCAGGTTTTCATTGAATGTTTTAACATCTAATAATTGATTTACTAATTTTCTTATTAAATTTGTATGATAAATTATTTACAATTGACACCACTGTTAGTCTAACAAAATTTAAATCAAAACCCGCGTTGAGAATGTAAAAATGCTAGTTGTTCCAATGACCGAATTAATCAATATTCGAGAAATGATTGATTTTTAAAGACGATTACCTAATTTTTTCATCCGAGTTTAGTAAATATTTGAGATAAAAAAGCAATTCAATTTTATACCTTGATGTGTATGTTTGCATGTTGAAAAGTTTTACACACACCTAGAATTGCTCGACGATTTTCAGTTGCCACATTGTTAATTCATTTAAATGAGGAAAGACATGTATAAACAAAATTTAGAGTTGGTTGAGGTTTGTGAAGTTTGAAGCACGTCGCCAAGAAAATTGTGCCTTTAATATTCAACAGCTGTCGCTGATGTGTGGCTGATACACAGTACCGTTTTCGGCGCATGGAACACGTACAAGAGATTTTGACTCAATGAAGGAGAAAAACAAACGAGATGACACAATAATTGTGTCTCTCCTTGCAAAAGTGAGTGAGATGGAGACCGACCGATTCTGACTACGCGACGACTTCGCCTCTAAATCGGTATAACCACGAAACACTTCATATATACTATTCGATATTTTACAAAATAAAAATTATAATAGGCTTAGACGATTCGAAATTAAAATATAATTAATATTATAACAAACATAAGAATGTGAATGTACGGCGAGTTCGAAAGGTTTGTTTGTGTGTTGTGAGTACACGCGTGCAGCCTTCGACTCTGTCGGGTGAACTATTTCATACGGGTGTAGTAGCGATTGCTATTCTTTCATTGTTATTTCATATGCATTTGATATTTTCGAAGATTGCTCTTCTTTTTTAATGTCTATAGTTCATAAGTTTAGACGTAAGCGAATTAGTCTTTATATATATATATATATATATATATATATATATATATATATATATATATATATATATATATATATATATATATATATAAAACAACAACAAAAACTACCTCTTGAGGAATCTTGTCTTTCTTTCTTCCTCTCGTTCTGTAAAGGCTCCCAGAGTAACCTGAACAGCGGACAGCCTATATCGACAGGTCCTTGAAAGTTGTGAGTAAGATAATGAAGACTGCGAAACGAAGATATTTTTTATACATAAAATAATTAAGCATTGATAGTTAATATTTTTGAGTCAATAGTCCTAGTTGATTTAATTTCATATAACACAGTTGTATAAATTAATTCTTCATTGTGTAATCATTGGATTATAAGAATTTAAGGGGTTAAGCCACTTATGGAGTCGAAATGTCCTATTTAGCCGGAAATTTAATTTTGTTTAAGAAGAATATTATTATTACGCTTTTGTCTCGATGAAGAACAGTCTTATCTTGTAAAAGTACTTTGAAGTTTTATGATTATAATTTTTTTAAACACTAATAAATAAACTTATTATTATTTGCATGATATTGTCTATGTTTCATTAATAATAAATATGTTAAGCAATCTCTGCAAAAGACATGAGGCACGGATAGTTTAAAAGTAGTATTGGGAAGTTATTTTTATCGCCATTATGTCATCGACCAGTGTCATCGCAACTATTTAAATAATATTTTAAAAATAAAATATGATTAAAATTATCACTGCATGTAAATATATGTAAAATTATCTATATATTAAGTTATGAAAGTGGTGTAACTTGCTTAATTGAAGAACAATATTGGAAATATAATTTTTGAAAATTCGTTTGAGTAAATTGATAACCGGTTTAATCGATTGTTTTTAATAGTGTTTTCTCTCTTTATCTCTCTCTCTCTCTCTCTCTCTCTCTCTCTTTCTATCTATCTCACTCAAGAAATCGGTTACAATTACCTTACGAATAATATTAAAATTATCCATCAATCGTTAAATAGGATTATTGGCTTGAAAACTTATAAAAAATTAACGAGTAAAATTTTTAATTCGTTATAAATTTATTTTTTACTTTATTTTTAATTTTGTTAACTGTAAAAATAAATGATTAATTCAAAGTTGACTTGAATACTTATAATTATTTATTTTTTAGAAGCTCGATGATATTATTTCAGATAGTGAAACGTACCAAGGGTATGGACATTAAAGCGAACCTTTTTTGCTTTTGTCTTTTTTAGAAACAAGAAGAAGAGAAGGCTCAAGTGAAAAAGAAACGGGAAGCAGTGGAGAAAGAGGAGCGCGAGAAGCGCGAGAAAGAGCGCAAGGACCGCAAGGACGAGGAGGCCAACAATAAACATGACGAGGACGGCGATCCAGGCAGTCCTCACAAGACCCGAGGTGACAGCACCGGCAGTAGTCGCAGAGATAAGCGACGTAGCAGATCGAGGTTGTTACATTATTACCAAACATTTTATCTCTCTGTCGCCGAACTTTCCTTTGAAATTAAACAGTCAATCGTATCTAACAATTTCAGAAAGAAATTTTTCCTTATAACGAGCATCTAAAAACATACTTGCGTGAGTCTTTTAAGATGATGGTTCATTGATACGCGCTACTCTTATCACGCAGTTTTGATTAAAGATTTTATTGGCTTATGATTTATATGAGCATGTTATAGCTTTTAATTGTCCTTCAATTTTTTTTTTTTTTTTTGTTGATATCCCTATTTGCTTTTATTTTCAATTTACCTAAAAATTTTAATGTTTAACAAAACGTGGCTTTGACACCTCCAACACCTCGAACACCTCGAACACCTCGAAATATTAGTTTTGAGACACTGAGAATTGGTTAATTTAACCTTTCATTTATTAAACAAATAAAATTATTAACTACATTGGTTAGATCCGTGACTTATTTAAAATTGTACTAAATGTTTGATGAACCTTAAGAATATACCTGGCCAAGAGTACTTTTTTTAATTAAAAATTAGAAGTTTTAAATACCGTTGATTACTTTCTTTTCGATTTAAAATAAAATTACAGCAAATTGTAAGCTTGTTTAATTTCAAGATGAGAATTTTTTTCTTCTTCTTCTTTTTTTTTTTTTTAAGCTCAGAAACGAACGGAGTAAAAATTATTTTTTTACATTATATTTTTATCTTATAAAAATGGATAATACATGTATATATATATATATACACATATATCTGTGTGTGTTACTTGTATGGTTTACTACTGCTACTGCTATTCCTATAATTACCACCAGCATCGCTACTTACTACACCGTTATGGTTATTAGTTTAGATTTATGAAAAATTTAATTTTATAAAATAATTAAATAAAAGGATAAGTAGTTAATTACGCGTGAATTAGTACTTTTGTCTTTCAGAGTTTTAATGGTTAATAATATATTTAAGATTATTATTTGGTTGTTGTGAAAATAGGTGTTTCATTATTAATAGTTTACTTAATTGCTTGTATAATTTACATTGAATTCATGAGTTATATACGTTGCCGTACAAGCGTAGTTAATTTTGTTTCAATCAAGTTACTTTACTAATTTCGAAGGAAATGGATTAAGACACATCATTTGTTATAGTTAAAACATGTTAAAAACAGTCTGTATACAACCATCGTAACTTATCAACATCCAAATATTTTCCTTAATAACCTTTAACGTTGCTTATTAATAAATAGACAGAGAGTTTGTTAAATTAAGATTGTTTTGTTTAAAAGACTTTAAGAAATTTAACTCGAAGTCCGAATAAACTAACAATAAAATCCTTGATAGCTTTTATAAAATATATATAGGATGAGGGAGAGAGAGAGAGAGAGAGAGAGAGAGAGAGAGAGAGAGCGCTGAAATGAAATGAAAAAGGGTAGGGATAGTGAGCAACGTACAGACCACTTTGCGCTAATAAAACTGAGAGTGCTTGAATATAATTTTATATACTGCTGTTTTGGTGTTGTGGCAGTTTCATTGGTTCACATTTGTCATCTGAAAGTGGCTGTGCGTATCTCGTATTCCTCACAACTTCTTCTAAAGCTTATTCTCGAGGATTTACTTTAACGCTTGGGGATTTCTGTTCGCAGGTCTAAGGATCGAGACCGGGATAGGGACCGTGGCCGTGGCGACCGAGACCGCGATGGTGAGCGGCACCGAGAACGAGAGCGGGAGCGCGACCGGGACCGCGATCGGGAGCGCAATGATCGCGGCGATCGGGCTGAGAGGGAGCGCAGCGAGCGCGACCGCGAGCGTGAAAAAGAGCGCGAGCGGGAGCGGGAGAGAGAACGAGAGCGCGACCGGGAGCGCGAACGCGAAATCCGGGAGCGGGAACGGGAGCGAGAGCGCGAAGAGGCAAGGAAGACGGAGCGCGAGATAATGCGCGAGAGAGAGGAGGAAGAGGAGGCGAAAGAGCGCAAGAAGAACGAGAGGCGGGCGCGCGAGAAGGACGCGGCCTACCAGGAGAGGCTGCGTACCTGGGAGGCCAGGGAGCGTCGCAAGCAGAAGGAATACGACAAGGAGAATGAGAAGAAACGCTCGAAGCGAGAGGCGCGCGAGCGCGAAGCCAAGAGGCTCAAGGAATTCCTCGAGGATTACGACGACGACCGGGACGACGCTAAGTATTACAAGGGCAAGGAGCTTTCGCGGCGGCTGGAGGAGCGAGCTGTCGAGGCCGAGGCCGACTCGAGGGACCGGTGCGCCGAGCGTCAGGAGCTCCAAAGACTCAGGGACAAGCTGTACGCGGACTCGAGTTACGCGGACCCGGCGGCGGAGTTCGAGAGACTTAAGGCCGAGCGCGAGGAACAGTACAAGCCGAAGCCGGTTATAACGATCATCGACGAGGACGACGAGAAACCCACTTCGCGCCACAAGGACAAGGAGGCCCAGGAGATGCCGCCGATCGAGACCGAGCCCATCGAGAGCGACAGCGACGAGGCCGCCCACTACGACAACGGGGGCTCCCAGTCTCAGCAGGAGATATCAAGGACGCCTCCCCGACCCCACCACCATCACCATCGTCGGCATCACCGGCATCACCAGAATCACCACAGGGAGGGCGCCGAAGATCACGAGGAGGCGCCCATTGACCTTGAGAGGGAGAGCTCCAAGGACAAGAGGAACAACTCGCCGCCTGTCATTAGGTCGACGACGCCGCCCCAGGCCCTCATGCCACCGGCTCACGACGAAGATTCGCGAATGTCCCTTGTCAGCGAGTCTGACAAAGTTAGCGGCAGTAAGTAGTGACTCTCGGTGACTTTCTTTCATTGCATATCGAGGAACGCAACGCGTGCCTAATTCATTAAAATGCCTACGGACCTCTTTTTATAGAGGCTGACTGTCATTGTACGGGATAGTGTCAGCGATACTTTTTGTGACGTGAGTTATATGTGATAATGAATTATTATAATTCGTTGGTATAATCTATAACGTTAATGACTAACTTTTCTTTGTTTTTTTGTTTTTTTTTTTTTGTTTTTTTTTGTTGTTGTTTATATTAGGTTTAAGAGTTTGATGTTAAACAAAACAAAAATAAAAAATAATGATAAAGATGATACAATGTTTGGGATTGATGGGTTTAATAGTTTTAAAGAGTAATTCATTTGCGTTACCGCATTTTGATGACATAACTTTGAGAAACATAAACGTTGGAGCATAGTCGTCATAAGGCAATATAAACGGAAAGTTTCTTTTAAATTTATAGATCATTATGACATGTTCGTTTCTACATGCCGTTTTATAATAATATAAAATATTAATTTGTATTGCCCGGCCAAGATGCACTGGCTTATAACGTATCATTTTGTTCATATTAAAGCAGTTAAAATAATAATTCAATTTCTTAATGTAATATAGGAATGCATCGTATTTATTTACCTTAATATCGAAGCATTAAAAAATTCAGCATAATCGAATAGTAAAATTTTACTTTGTAATAATAACACTACTTGGGACTATCATCATTGAACTAATTTACTTTTGCCAATAGACAAATATCATGTGAAAATAATAACTCATAATCATAATAAATGAAAATAACTAATATTAATGAAATATTTGTGAGCTGCTATTTTAGAAAATACTAGTACGAAAAAATATATATATTTATTCATCGTATATATAATAAATCGTTTTTTTTTTTTTTTTTTTTTTTTTTTTTTTTTTTTTTTTTTTTTTAAACATATTCTATCTCATTTTCTTAAATATATGCTTATAATATATTCTTAAAATTATATATTCTACCCATATGATTAATCACTATCCGCTCTATGATATACACGAGCTCGTACAATAACGCGATTGAATTGCGTAGAACTTTGGTTTTTTCAGTCAGTTAACCGTCATTCGCACTCTTCATATTATAAATAGCGAATGGAAATGATACACCACAGTACAATTACCCAACTTAAGCATCAATGACAAAAATGTGAACGAAAATTAAAAAAAAAATTTGTAACTACCGTAGTTACGCTTATGCCGTTACGTATTATATTTATCGCTCGTAAAACTAGGTATTTGCGAGTAATATTATAATTAATATGTTCACGAGTTGAATTGACGCGTTGAATTATTTGACCTGCATATGATATCCATTGACGGTTATATCGAGTCGCTCTTATGCAAGAGTTAGTCGCTACTTCTTAAACAAAGTTTAACGGTTATTCTAAATGTACGATCGAGTTTATCTTTCGTCATTAGAATCGCTTGCTAATACAAAGAACTTTATAAATATTGACAGTAAACTTAATGAGCTACGTTTATTGTTAAGGTAATTTCGTTCCATTTGCCATGGCTGTCGGGGGTTCGAGAGGGGAGCACGCAATTGGCAATAAAACTCCTGCGAGTCCAAATACGATACCCAGCACTCAGAATTCTAATCAGTCGAGGAAGAAAGGTCGTATAGATGTGAAAGACGTCTTTAATAACGATGACGACGATGATAGCACAAACAATTCCAAAAAACGAAAGCTTGTACCTATTGGTGAGCGATATAATTCAGCGATTGGCTTTTAATTGAGAAATAAAAATTTTCAAAATTTCAAAAAAGACTTCATTTTATAATGTTGTTATAGATTATGGTGAAGAAAAGAAAAAGAAGAACGAAGAATCAGCAAAAAATTCAAAAGAGGAAAATTCGAAGTCTCAAGAGGAAAAACGGAAACACATCAAGTCACTCATCGATAAAATTCCAACGGACAAAAATGCACTTTTCGGTTATCAACTTGATTGGGCTGTTATCGATAATGTAAGCATTATTTAATTATTTAATATTGATTACAAGCGATTGGAAGTAAATGATTGTTGTTTTTTTTTTTTTTTGGTTTATTTTAGTCACTGATGGATAAAAGAATACGTCCTTGGATAAATAAGAAAATAATCGAGTACATCGGTGAGCCAGAGAATACTTTAGTTGATTTCATTTGCAGTAAAGTTATGGCTGGAAGTTCACCTCAAGGAATTCTTGACGATGTACAAATGGTAAATATAGATCTCTCGAGAGATAGATGAAAAGACTTTTTTTTTCTTTTTTTTTTTTTTTTTTAACCATGAAAATTCTATATAATATTTAAAAATATAATATTGCAGGTTCTTGATGAGGAAGCAGAGGTATTTGTAGTTAAAATGTGGAGGTTACTCATTTATGAAGTTGAGGCAAAGAAAATGGGCTTAGTGAAGTGAACAATCATTCATTCAATAATGAACTCTAAACATTTCAATTTTGAAATAATGAACGCTAATAAAGGACACTGATAAATAAGTCGTAATATTTAGGTCACATGTTTAAACTATAACATACTATGAAACAAATAATACGTGTAACGATGACAGAAAGTGTGAAAGACCATTGTAAGAAAGAATTGCAAAGCATGAGAATGCGAGAGTGACGCGAAAACAATTTTTAATTAAATTGTCATTTGTAAGATTCTTATTGTCTTGTCATTTATACCAAAAAATGCAAGGAATTCAGAATTAATTTTTGAAAAAAGTAATAATACATCTATTGATATTACATTTTTAATTGACACAAACGACTCGCACATTACCTTTCTCTTTTACTCAGTGATGCAATTTCTTTACAGTTTTGTCCATATTTCTAATTATTCTACTTAAGTTTATTCTGTTTAGTTTACACACAGTTTGTACATTTATTATTGTGTATTACTATGTACAATAAGTAAATTTATTTTCGCTCACATCATTTTTTAATATTCATTTATTACAGATTCTTATAATTTATGTGAAGCTTAGCATTGTTGTAGAATCATTAATAAATCTTTCATTTGTATGTATAAAAACATTAAAATATGTTTATTTAGAAATATATGTTCAAACAATTCATTTTTTTTTTCTCTTCATTTTGAACACATTTTTCTTGGAATAAACACTTAACTTAAAATAGTAAAATGGTTTTAGGAAGACTAGTTTTTCTATATAGTGTATATTTTAAAAGGGAAATGAAAAATACTGTTAACTGGTATAATTTAACAATCGAGAATAATAAAAAATAATTAAAATTAACAAATGTATAGATTTTGGGATAAATAAGTAATTTTATCTTTTAATAGCTTAAATGTGTGTAATTGTAAAAGAATTGCCTTGTTTTTTTCAATATGAATTACTAATGTATTTTATAAATAACATAATGTGCTCGATTGAGTTTGTATTATGCACGCTTCAATTTGAGGCATTTTTATAAAAACTCTAATAAACTGCGTGACTTTTAAAAATATTTAAACGCGTGTATTTCGTTAATTCTTTTTTTTTTTAATTAACTACAATTTTTTATAGCGTTTACATTCCCATTATCAGAGTTGCTACGTATATATATATATATATATATATATATGCATACACACACACACACACACACACACACATATACACGTACACATAATATCTAATTTTACGAGAGTAGCCATGTGAATTATAAATTACCTATATACACAAGTTTGGCAAATAACTTGTGAATATTAAATATTATTGTATGGTTATAATTTTGAAAGTGACCACTCTTTTAGAAATAAATGAAACAATCAATAAACTCAAATCTAAAAATTAACATATTTTATTAAAAAAATATATGAATAAAATATTTAAAAACATTCATATATTTAAATAAATAAATAAATATATATATATATATATATATACATACATAATGTTAGTACTAAATTACCAGGTCGTCATTAATGTCATTAATATAAAAATGTGTCTATTATGTGATTTGCATATTTTCAATTCTTATCTTCGAACGATTAAAAATCATTTTAATAAATTTTTTATGTGTTTAATACTGTTAATTAATTACAATGTTAATGATACTTTTGAATTAAAAAAAGTAAAAAAAGAAAAGAGACTTATAATGTTTGGGTATACTTTATCTGTCCTAACCGACTTTTATGATGATTCTAGATATCCAATCTATAATTCACAAATCTCAAATCAACAAATTTATTAACAAAACAAAGTTAAAGAAAAAAAATTAAATTAACAATTTGTATGTTGAAACATCTGTAATATATATATATATATATATATATATATATATAAATATATATGGCTATTAACTACCTTTCTCGAATAATAGCAGCTACTTGGTGGTTTGAAAAATGAATATACAACCCGCATCTAAATGTTCCTTTTTCTTAACAGTGATATTTATATTTTGTCCATCTAAAAAAGATATTTCATTAAATTAAATGAGTGTGTAACAACTGATGCATTGTTTATAGACTGATTTGCCGATCAAATGATGAATAATTAATGCTTAGGATTAATAAATTTATTTTAATTTATGCAACTCTTAATGTGTACGCTCAGCATAACCAATTAATCTATTGCTTTAAAATGTTTTCAATTAATACTGAATTTTATTTTATAAAATGAAAATTTCTTTTATATTTTAAAATAACATTGAAATGTGTATATGATTCTTTGTACAATAAAATTACTTCACTTGAGAATGAAAGTCTGATGTTTTATTAGAAACGTGTGAGAATTGCTTTTTAATTTTTTTTCTTTTTCTTTTTAACAATTATTTCATAAACTGTATATTTTTATCCATTAGTTTTTAATATTCAATCTGTAATAGAATATATCGCAATAGACAATATCGCAATTCTATATTTTTGTCAGTTTATACAATGTACTCGAGTATTTTTTTTGTTACGATTTAATATGCTATAAATATAAAAAATTTATGAATATTAGGACTTAGGAATCATTATATTTAACAAACAAAAAAAAAAAAAAAAAAAAAAAAAAAAAAAAAAAAAAAAAACCCATAACGTAGATAAATTAGATCTCTAACGAAATTGAAACTAAAATAATATTTTTATATAAGGAACGAATAATTGATTTATTTAGATAATTTAGAAATACAACATCGGAAAATACATCAATAATTTTTGTGTCTATTTATACAAAAATAAAATTCACTAACAATCTTAAACTATTGCAATTATGAAACATTTATTTTATAATTATTATTATTTAAATTGATATCCTTATTTAATTTATAATGAAAATGGACATTTAAAGTATTAGCATTAAAAAATAGAGATGAAGAGGACAATTTGTTATTTTCTTAATTGGATTTTGAATATGACCATCGATATATTGAATAAATTATTTTTGTGCAATTACGTAAGGAATACGAATATTTATCGCTAAGAACGTTTTAATTTAAAATATGAGACTGGTAATAAGATTTTCTCACAAAGTTTTTAAATATGTAGCGGTTATAAAATATTTTCGTACTAATTTCTTACTAAAAACTATTCGCCTTCGTATATGATTTTTTAATTCTCCGACAAAATATATATTTAACATAAGTTTATCAGTTTGTAGTATTTTAGTTTATGTACAGTTAATCAAGTTTTATAGTAATTTTTATTATCTAATTATAATTTTATAGTAATTTGTATAGTGAAAGGATCCAGAGCATCATAAATCGTGAGATTTACCTTTCCTCGTACGTGCCATTAATCGCTTCATTTTCCATGGAAATTGACGAGCCTTTTAATTTTTTAAATATTATTGTTCAACTTATTGATAATCTATGTGGCGTCGATTTTCTTTATTTTTATTTGTCAAATGATTTACCATCAATCGTTACATACATGTCCAACGTAGGTACTTAAATACCTTATACAATGAACATATTATCACTTTCATCGCTTACAGCGGTACAGCACACAATTTTTAATATTCTTATCACAAAGGAAAGTTCAACAATCTAATGAACTATTATGCATTTTTCTGAAATTTTAGCCTACATACGATGCCTAATTTATCATAACTTTAAAGTAAGACTATTCGAAGAGTTACATTTTTCAAATAATACGTTTAAAACTTTTCTCGCAAGCATATGAACACGCACGCGCGCATATATAAAATATTTAAAGTAAAAGTAATCTTGTACGTATGGACTATAATATTCAATTTTGTAATTGCGATAAGGTAGTAATTATTCTTTAAGGAAAGGACTTTTTCCAATCGTTTGTGAATTCGATTAAAATTCGAATGACATTTCAATCAAAGTATCATCAATCGGCTTGTTATCATTCATAAAAATAAATTACTATCCTTTAGTTTATCGGCTAATGACTCCACGGCAAAGTGGCGATTTACGAACCGCTAAAGTGTTCTTTTTCATACAACATTGAATTGCGCGCATAATGATTTGATTTTTGTAGGGACGACTAAAATATGGAAATATGGTAATTTTAACGAAGTTAACGACGCTCGGACACTGGTTGGAGCGAAAATAACGTTTATTATCGTCGTACGAGGAAGGACAATATAATGGGAAGTAGAGAAAGTCGAAGCTCTCGTTAGCTTCGATATTTCGAATGTTGTGTTGACGCGCGCGATTATTCAAGCTTCACCACCTAGCGGCAGCAAGCGAAAGCTCTAATATGATCGCACAATATATAAGAATAAGGCCCGGATGAGGCGCGAAGCCGTGGTTCCTGCACAAATTGGAGAGAGAGATAGAGATAGAGAGATAGATAGATAGAGAGAGAGAGAGAGAGAGAGACAATAGCGAGCATCCCGAGGCCGAGCATCTCACTAAAAATTAGCCTAATACTAGAAATATGGTGTGGGTGGCGGGGGCGGGAAAGTTCGGGAGTCGCCGGCAGGTGGCGAGGCCATGAGCGTCGGAATCGCTCGGTCGAGGTTGCGGTCGACGGCGAAGGCGGCTACCGGTGGCGGCATTAAACGGCGCTACGGCGAAGTCAGCCGGACAACGCACAGGCCAAGTTTAAACACGGCCGCTTTCTCTCGCATTGGCCCCGTATGAGAAAAAATGGCGGAGCAAAGTGTCGACGGCGCGGCGACCGAAGAGTCTCTTGCTAAGAAGATGAAGGCTATCGAGCCGGAGGAGGCGTCCAAAGTCGCGGACAGCGTACACGACACCGCCCTCAGGCTCTCGAGCTTTCAAATGACGCGCATACTCAACGTCAATAGCATGAGGAAGCAGTTGATGGTCGAGGGGACGTTCAAGGGCCAGGAGAGCCCGGCGATTGTCATTATGGAGAAGAAGGTCTTCCCCGAGGACGATATATTCCTTAAACGGGGCTTCTTCAACGAGGGCACCATCATTCGGAAAGTCTACAGCAATGACGTTTACGGCAATTACGAGTGCTTCCCAACCCGCGAGCATAACGGTAAGGGAATAACTGGCACTTGCTTACTCTATGCTCTCTCTTTTTATCTTCGTGTCCCAGTCGCTCGGCTGCTTCTTCTTTTGTTTATCAAGCCTTGGCGCGCTTACGGTTTCCATTCGATAGTTGCTGCCCTACTCTACTCTACGTCGACGACCACTCGGTAATAACTAGGCAATGATACCACTCTGGCCCACGTCTGCTTCGAGGCAAAATGTTTATGTGCGGCGGTTGTCACACGATTGCCATACATCCCCACATTCCTCAGTCGTTCATTTAATTTCTTCAGGCTCTTTGCCTCGGCCGACTATGTAATCATCGCTAATCTCATCACGTTTCGTCCTACATTTACGCACCCGACAATTAAATGTTCCCGTTATTTTTTTTTAACTTTATCATCTCGGGGATGCTTGAGTTATCCGATACTTCACTCCTCCGTGTTACCGGCTTTTCTCAACACTTTCCCGACAAAACCAATTTTCATTCCCCTTGCTTATCTAGAAGATTTATTTATTTTTTCTTTCTTTTTTGCATTTCTCAATCTCGTGAAGCGACAACATTTTAAACAGTTATACAAAACAATGATCTTGCTGTTCTTTTTCCCAAATCGTTTTCATCTCCTTAACGCACACTCTTATCACAATGTTTACAATGCTCCGATTATAAAATTAAACTCCTTCTATACGATCCCACAGGTTTAAATGTAACGATAATTCATCCAGCGTCTCAAAAGCATTTGGACAAATTTTCAAGAAAAGAGTTGTATCTTGTTAACGAAACCTATGAGATTTATGAGAGTGTTACCCTACCTTACTTGGAGTCCAATAGTTTCTCCCTACAGGTATGTAAAAAATGACCGAAAAACAAAAAAAAAAAGAAGAAAAAAGTATTGTATTTTTATAAGGAGGAACCAGCCAAAAAAAGTTCCTCCTATACGGCACTTATTATAAAAAATCTTATGTCCATCTAGTGGGTTGATAACATCTTGAGTCACAAGGCAGAATACGATAAAATTATTTACGAGGATAAGGACAAAGAGAAAGGTTTTATAATGTTACCGGATTTAAAATGGGACGGTACATTAGCCTCGTTGGATATATTAGTTCTTGCAAAAAAAAGGATTAAATCTTTGAGAGAACTTAACGATTCTCACTTACCATTATTAAGAAACATTAGAGATACGGGGACGGATGTAATTAAGAAAAAGTACAATTTATCATCATCTCAACTTAGAATTTATTTACATTATCAACCATCCTATTATCATTTGCACGTGCATTTTTCATACTTAATGCACGAAGTACCAGGTATATCAAATTTCTTGTACTATATTTATTAATTCTACATTAATTAATTATATATAAATAATCTCTCCACTTTTCCAGGTATTCATTGCGAAAAGGCACATTTGATTTCTACCGTTATTAATAACATAGAAATTGTACCAGATTATTATCAAAAGGCTGTATTATCGTTTGTTGTGAAAGAAAATGATCCATTGTGCAAAAAGTATCAAGAAAGTGGTGTATTAACTGTGATTGACAGTCAAACAGAAATTTAAAACAAAAAAATGGAAAGAAAAGGAGCAAAAAAAGAAAGGAAGAAAAAAAGTGTATATTAGAAAATTATTTTTATCTTTAAATTAATTAGAATTTTGTATTGACGAAGAAATCTTCAGAATCATAATACCAAATAAATTGTGATTAGATGCAAAATTTTTTATACAATGACCAAACTATTCAATTACTTAAAGACATTTTATTACTATACTTTTTACAATATGTATATATATTTTAGAACACATTTTTTTAAAATATAATGGAATTCTTTATGCAATACATCATTATTCTATAACATTTAATTTATGGAATACCACAGTCTTATGTTGTGATAATTCTATTTGGCAATGCGTTTGAACGAAATGTAATTTATCCTAACATTCTAAGACAAAGCGTTTCATATTACAAAGACATTAAAAACGTTATTCTGAAATAGGCACATTATAATGCATCACATTTCAAAGTATAAACAAAGTATAAACATTTATGATGCATCCGTCAGATTTGAAAATAACTATAATTATCATTGTCATTTGGATTGAATCAAGAATTTTCCCTTCATTTCTTGATGTTTTTAAACTTTACCGTAGTCAATATATATATTATCATTTATAATATAATATTATCTTGAGAAAGTTGAAATAAAAGTTTTTAAATACAGTATATATATATATATATATATATATATATATATATATATATATATATATATATCTATATGAAAGTATATTATTAAAATATAAGAAATTCTTAATAATTTGTGAATTATATTACAAATGGTGCTTAAAATGTGCTGCGACCTCTTCGATCCTTTCGACAATTATCATTAAGTACAATTTTTAAACGCAGTCTCTTTAGTACTCAATTCATTTTATTCTGTCCACTGAAAAGGACTATCTTACGTGCTTACGATGCTTTTCCCTTTAATTTTGACGATAGTCTAAAAAAATTACGAGTGATTTTGTAAAACTTGTCAAATAATATTTTACTTGTGCGTTAATAAATATTTACCTTGTATTTTCATTTCAAAATTTCTTATTATAAAGACATTTATCAAGATGGCCTAGATACTGTACATGCACAACCAAATCATTTTCCTTCAAAGCATTTTTTCAATTGAAAACACTTGGATCTGTATTTATTATTATCAACATTGCTAAACCACTTACTTGTAATTAAATAAAAATTATAGCCCATGTTCAAGCACCTGACAAGCGTTAATAGCATAAGCTTTTAAGTCCTCTTCTCAATTTTACTCATACAAATATTGTAATTAACTTGAGCATCCCAAAATAGAAAATTTTATAAATGATTAAATTTTCATAAAATTAAATTAATATAAATAGGCTAACGCGTTAAAAAGTCTCAAAAATAAATGTTTAAAAAAGAACCTTTACAAATTCATTTACATGCTGTTTTTTTTTTTTTTTTTTTTTTTTTTTTTTTTTTTAAACACCAGTATACCAATAAATTTGAAATTTCATGTTTTTTATTATAAAAGTATATTCTTAAAATATCACAACTGCATCTTAGTTATGAATTAATGAATTAGCAAAAAAAAAAAAAAAAAAAAAGTCGTATTTCTATAAGAGATACTTATCATTAATTGTAAAACTAATTTGTCATTAATTTTTTCTTTTGTCATAACAAGCGTTTAGCGCTTTATAAAAATTTTTTTATACTCGGAAAAAAAAAGAAGTCATCGTCAGAATATATTCCCCCATTATTATTATTATTATTATTATTATTATTATTATTATTAAGAGTATCTAAATATGTTGGAAAATTCAACAAAATCCATCTGTTTTCAATTTCTGATCAAACTTCCTTAAATTGCCATTACTTTTACCTTTACTTTTATCAAACATTACATCCTCTGAATCTGAATCAGATTCTGATAAAACCATTTGATTCGACCACTTTGGCCCTGAAACTTTGAAAATTCAAATATATACTTTGAGGATTCGAGTGTCTATAAGAATTAAATAAATTTCCATAATAATAAATAGCATTTAGTTATTACATGTTGTGTTTCCATTTTCAGTCTCGGGCTTCAATAAGGAATAACGAGTTGGTTTCTTTTTTGGGCGCAAAAGTCGTCGTTTGCCATAACAGATCCTTTGACAAAAGCAAAACAAACCCCAAATAAATCCAATCCAACAAATCACCAAAGAGAGTACAGCTATGATTACGTATAATATGCTCCATTCTAAGAAAAAACAAAAGAACAAAAAAAAAAATATTACAAATTGAAGAGAAGAGAGTGTTTATTATTTTTCATAGTGAATTTAATGAGTAAAATCATTAATTTTCATAATTTTTTAATTTTCATAATTTTTAATTATTTACAATTTATAATGCTAATCTATCGAATAAATTTACATAAAATAATGATTTGTTCTCAATCTCATTTCAGCTATTTTAGGTATTTTATCTCGTAGCGATTACGTTTATGGCAATAACTTACCACAATTGGAATCTCCATTTCGGAAATACAATTGAATAAGATTTTGCATCCAAAAAGCCTCGCATAGGCATTGCCTGGTTTCTTGATTACACGTTCCATGACCTAAAGCCAATCATTTACTAATGTACATTATACAAACAAAATTTTCACGCAATATCCGGTCTTTTGATTATATGTTTCATTCACCCGAGCAGTTATTTTGACAAATAGCCGTCTCGACATTCGTTACCGATAACTGCAAGATCCCGGAGTCTTGTCCAAGTTTTTCCTTCAATTTGTCGACTACCTCGGTGCCTGGCATCGTCGACTTATTATCCTTTCTCTCAACATAAAAAGTTAAGACAACTCGGCCCGTACGAGGCTCTGCTTTTATATTTCGAACGATGATCGAAACCTCTTCCTGAAGTAGCATTTGCAATTTAACGAATAACGAGTCTTTCTGAGACTCCGTTAAAAAATGCGCTCCGACATTCAATGTTAATTCAACTAAATTGAGTAGTTGTACGTCTGCAGGGAAAACGTTCCATTATATTGCTTTAAATTATAAATATTGAAATCTCGTTAAAATGATCGTAAGAACAAATGACACTTACCCGGTTTGACTATTATCGATACGCTGTCTTCGCTACTTAATCCTTGATCGTCCGTAACTTTTAGCCTAAAGACATAACGGCCCGGAAGCACATCCGTCACCTAAATCAATCAAAAGACTAATTCATACTACTGTACGTACGAAATTACCATTAGCCATTTATGCGTAAGCGTCAAGAGTTAAAATTATGCGAGAGAGTTTAATGTTCGTAATTACGAAAGTTGAATAATTGTTTAATTTTAACGAATTGACTGAATGGGATGTGCAATTTTCCTTATAAATACAATTACCATTAAGATTGGCGACTTGTCACTAGCTTCGATAATGTTGCCGATTGCCAAGCTCGTCGAGTCTCTAGTCCACAGCCATTCTTTAATTTTTAAATCATCAGTCGATTGCGAACCGTTGATTATAAGAGCATTTACGGGCGCGATTGCGGTAAAATCGCCACCGGCGTTCGCCCTTGGCGGTGCATTTTTGTCTGTAAATTAATCGATGCCTTATCAACTTAACGAATTTATTATGACATTTATACGCTATTAGAGCGTGATCGGATGAACCTTGTAACAACTTACTCTGTGTGACTTTAAGTTTCATAAGATCCGAGTCCTTGTTGCCATTGTCATCCGTAACGGTCAACTTGAACGAATAATCACCTTTCGTTAATCTGGTGACGTTAGTAACGGACTTATTGGCCGATGTGAAAACTACTGTACTAGGACCCTCGATTTCCTCCCAATAATAAAAAACGATTTTAAAGTCGTCTTTGCTTCTTGAACCATTGAGAATGGCCTCGGTTTGTGGCAGGGCAATCGTAATGTCATCTCCAGCGTCGGCTACAAAATTATCGCAATTTGTTATTGGAAACGATGTTGCGCGACATTTAATAAACGAGGAGTGAAGTTTGGTTTTTAGGAACCTTTAGGCGGCATGTTGGTGGCTGGTTTTACGAATACGTGCACCGCCGAGGTTGAAAATTGTTCCGCATCGTCGATAACTTTAAGCACAAAAGTGTACATCCCTTCTTCTAAATTTGAAAGTTGTAAATACGGTGTTCGTGTGTTTTGCATGTCAACGGCTTTGTTCTCGTCGAATGGACTTTTCGTCCATTCCCATCCGACGATACCTCGATCGTCCGTGCTTAAGTTGCCGTTAAGAGATAGAGTATTTTGAGGCAAGTAAATTATTACGTCTTGGCCGGCATTGGCACTTGGTGGATAATCGGTTATTTTTAAAACTGTTATATTGGCCGTTGTAAAGTTTGTCACGCGATTCGAATCCTCAACGGTTAGTCTGAAAAAATTGTTTATATATGAGAGTAGGGACGACGAATGAAGTCTCGATTCCATTTTTGCATTTCTAATGAGGTTAAAGCAGACGACGATAATCCATATATATATATATATATATATATATATATATATACACATACACACATGCATGCATACATACATACATATGCATACATTAGTGTACATACATTGTTTGTTAAAAATTTTTTTCCAGTATATTAAGTCTACTGAAGCGATTCAGTATCTACGAATCAATATGGTTGTAGATGTTTTTATCGATTTGACAAATAAATAGACATTAAATTGACGCTAAATTGAAAAATAAGTTAATTACCGTTTGAACATTAGTATAATATATTAGATCTGCGCAAACAAGGAAGTAATAATTACAAGCAATACGGTTATATAATAAATTTAACGCACTTGAAAGTGTAATTTCCAGCAATAAGATTATCTAACTGAAGCGTCGGTGTATCAACGAGTCTTGGCTGATATCCGATAGGGCCCTGCTGTAATTCCCAGCGATAGGAAATTATTTTATCATCGTCCTTACTAGCCGAACCATCCAATACAGCTCCGGTATTTGGTAACTTTACAATTTGAGCGGACGGCGATATTATAGGAATTGGTGCTTGATTTATTCGCTTAGCTTAAGGGGAGAGACGATTATTTATGAATTGAATTTCAAGACTGTTCCATCGATGTAAAGGACAACTTACGAGGTAGTAGGGTGACGTTTGCGTAGGCTTCTCCATAACTATTTTCTCCGTTCACGGTCACTTTGAATTTATACAGGCCCTCCGACAAATTACTCAATTTAACAGTCATTTCATTTTGATCCGTCATTGTACCAGTGTGTGCTTCTGGTTGACTCAATAGCGTCCACGCGTAATTATAATGCCCGTTCACTTGATCCTCCGCTGGCACTGTGAAAGCTGATAATGTCACCCCGTTTTCCGGTAAACGCACTTCCTTAGATACTGTTTTAACAAATATTTGCTTCACCGGCGGCTTGACCGAGGTGTGCGACTCCTTAGCAATGCGAGGTTCGTTGATATCCGGTGTTATTGCTAGATCAAGATTTTGAAGATCTCGATAAGAGCTGCAAATTCCTAAAATATTTTTAAACAATATGGTCTTAAAGTTATATAAAAATCTTATACAACGAGAATGCGAGTAAATCCGTACCAGCAAGATTTCTTTTATATCCAAGTATACATTCGCACGATCCAATATTAGACGTCTTACTACTAGTTTTTAGGCATACTTCATTTTCAGCGCAATCCTCTAAGCCGCTGCAGCTACGTTTGCTCGCGCCAAAAAATGAAAACTGTTCGTTGCCATCCGACATCATTAGGCTGAAGGGCAAATTTTTATTAAAAGCATGTATTACGATACTTGTGGTAATTAAGCGTCGATTCGATTAAAGCGCAAGTATTTAGTTGAGTATTTTTAAGGTACATTGTAAAAAATTTGACTTCCATTAGCATATTTACTTTTGATATCGATTCTTTATAAAGTTAACGACATTAGAGGGGAACTATACTTTGCGATACAGTTTTTTCTTACAAAGAATATGAACTTAAGATTCGTACTTTGACATATCATTTTCTTGCTCCAAGAGATCGTTCCAAGTCTCGTCCTCCTCTACGGGCTTGACGAGTACCATGCTTGGAGGATTGGCGTTAGCTAATTTTGCTCGATAAAGAGGCATACACATTTTTGACGAAGTACATTGCACATGGTAACACGTCATATTGTACATTAAAGCTACGTGGCATAATTGTTGATTGCAGCAGGTAGCGACGCAACGATTCGTCGTCGTTAGTAGCGGCTGCTTTCTAAAAATTCCTCCCGTTAAATTACCACTTGGTGCGAAACTTGTGAAGACTCTCGGATACAAAGCTGGACACAAAATTTGCCAATTATTCTCCCAGTCTGAATAGATGCCACTACAAGCACCAAGAAAGAGCAGATATAAACTAATATAGTACGTCTTTGACATCTTGCTGCAATAAATAAACAAATTGCTGTAAAAAATGTAATAAATAAACAACCTCGCGTTAAATAGTAAAATTCACTTGCCTCTAACCAACAAATAAAATAAGATGCAACTGTTAATTGTTAGTGACGGTATATTGCATTCTAAATTACAGATTAATGATTTTTTTATTTTTGACAATGCTCAAGACACGAAGGTGGTTAATCGAATAAATAAAGCTTTATCGCACAAGCGTCGATTCACTTAAACCGCAAATAAACGAAATTGTAGGTTGTTATCCTTTGGTATAACATTGACAAAGCGTGAAAACGTCGGGCATTTAATGCGAATTTATCCTAGACGAGTATCGCCCGAAACGTAAATATCTTCAGGCTCTTAACTGCGTTTGATACGCCGGCAATTAGCGCTCGTCATAAAGGTTGTCGCCTTTTTAATTCATCCACCTCGCAAGCCAGCATTAGAAGCTAATATATTCACTTTTAATTGTTTTTCGCTTTATCGAAATCACGCAGGAACGCCAGCTTAATCAACGCCATAGAGGCATAACATTGCGCTGCCGCAATCGCACACTTCCCGC